TGCTCTGTCTCATGGGGTTGTTGTGAATCGGAATCAACTGAAGGGCTGCAGGTTTGGTTTGTTAGTTTAACAAGTCTCTTTCTTACAGAACTGAATGATAGTGTGGCAATGAGTTCCCCAGATCGAATGCATGCTCTTAGTCTGAAGATTGTGCTCCTGGGCAAGATTTATGCTGGCACACCTCGTTTCTTTCCTTTAGGTGAGTAGTGACTTTATAGGGCCTGTCTTGCTCTGTTTCTCTGTTTTGGAAGTTTTCTTCATTGACAAGGAAAAGTTTTATCCTTTAGACTGCAATAAAGAGTTGCTAAGTTGCTGTGTAGCTCAAAAGTTTAATTTCACCTTTTCAGAAAGAATGACCATCAAAGAATAGTAGTTGAATAGTTGGGTATGTACCTTTCTTTAATAACCTTTCAAATTTATTTCTGTCTTAGGATAGTACTGATCTAGACCATAAGTCATTGATTGTATTATTTATGAAGAAAAGAAAAATGGCTGGTGTTTTATGCATCTGTGATTGGTTCAGTCACTCTGTTGTATTGATGGCGTGTTTTTCTTCAAAATACCAAATAGTTACGTTAAGAAATACATTTATTTAAACCTTTCTCAACCAAATACATAAATTGTTGTTGTTAAGTGCTGTAGAGTCCATTCCGACTCATGGCGAGTCTGTAAAGGGTTTCCAAGGAGCGGCTGGTGAGTTTGAACCACCGACTTTGCAGTTCAAACCAACCTAGTGGTCCAGTGTATTGTCCCACAGTATCACACCAGGATAGTTGAAAAAATTCAAGCCTTGACTTGCTTTATTGAAGGATTCTCTGGGCAAATTATTGAATGATGTAGAAAGCATCAAAAGAAGATGAAAGGAATACACAGAATCACTGTACCAAAAGAAAATGGTTGATGTTCAACAAAACCGCCCCCCCAAAAAATAGATGTAACATAAGTACATTCAAATCATAGAATATTAAGCACTTTTGTAGTATTGAAACATATTGAGTAACATGAAAATGCTCACAATATAGCATTATTTTTTTTTACATTTGGATGCAAGCCTATTTTAGGTGATGTCTTAGTGTCTCTTACTACTAGTGTATAAAGTTGCTGTGTTAAATTGCCGTCAGGTTGGTTCCAGCTCATAGTGACCCTGTTAGGGCTTCTGAGACTATAAATCTTTACAGGAACAACGAGCCTCATCATCCTTCTGTCAAGTGGCCCGTGGTCTCTCAAACCACTTGACCTTGTGGTTAACAGTCCAGTGCTTATCCTACAGAGCCACACAGCTCCAAGACTACTATAATCATGCCTATTTCTTATAGGTAAATTTGTTAAAACTTTTTTGTGCCATTTTGTTGAGCGGGAAAATAAAGAGAACATAAAAGAGCAAATCTTTTTTTTTTTTTTACAGATATAAGTACGTAAAAATTCATACTTTTAATCACTTGCTGACCTCTCTGAAAGGGACCACAATAGGTGCCCCTGGAAAGAGTGGAAGAAAAATGTGCGTTGAAACTCAAGATCAAAAAAAGGCAAAGCTTACTGGTCTGGGAGAGACTGTGGCCCTTAGCCTTCAGCCTGGAACTGAGTTCATCCCCGTAGCTCAGCTTTAAGCAGAATGATAGCCAGATATATGCAGTGAGCAATAGCATCAAGGATGGACACACTTCTTAGAACAACCAACCATATGAGATTAAAGGGGCAACATTTACCCAGGAATGCAGCTCCGAAGCAGAAAGGGCTAGGAAAGGAGTTGTGGAGTAGGGAAGTGGGAAGAACTCTGTTACACTGTGTGGATTGCATTCAGTGTCATGAATCAAAACGTGTACAAATTGTTAAATGAAAAACCAATTTTTTCTGTAAGCCTTTACCCAAAATACAATAAAAAGTTTTGAAAATTTAGTTTTCAAAACAAGCTTCTCCCTAGAAGCTACTCAGTATGAATAGGATATATTATTTATTATCAAGAGTTAAAAATCTAAATGTCTGATATTTTTTCTCCCCCAGATTTTATAGTACAGTTCTTAGAGCAGCAAGTTTGTACTTTGAACTGGGACGTAGGCTTTGTGATACAGACAATGAATGAAATTGGAGTGCCATTACCTAGACTACTGGAAGTATATGATCAGTTATTCAAATCGCGGGTAAGGAAAATACTAAAATAATTATTTATTTGAAATGAAATAAATCCTTCTAGATTTATTTGTTGTTGTTGTTAAGTTCCATCAAGTCAATTCTGACCCATAGTGACCTGTACAGGGTTTCTGAGGAGCAGCTGGTGAGTTTGAACCACCGACCTTGTGGTTCAAACAGACTGTGCCGTCCAGTGAATCATCCCACAGCACTACACCAGGGCCCCATACAGGAGTGGGGTGTTTTTGATAGCATGTATCTCATCACAGCCTAATTCAGTTGCAGGAGAGATTTGCTTTCATTGGTTAAATGTCAGAAATCATGCTGATAGAAAATTGAACTGTTATTCCTGAATATTACTAAATAATACATGTTTTACTCTAGTGGAATATTCTAAACCAAGACTTACGGACAACTCTTACTGCAAATTTGCCCTGAACCAGCTCCTAGTCACAAAAAATTCTTCATAACCACCTTCACCTGCCATGTGCAACTTTAAAATCATTGAGTGGCTTCGAGCCTTTTTTTGCACTAAAGTAAAGCTAAATAAGAATTGTATGCCTGTTCTGACTTACCAACAGATACTAGTTAAAATCAGTTAGGAATGAAAACCTTATTCATAACCTGAGGATTGCCTATTCATTTTAATGTTATCTAAAATATCAGTGCTTAAAGGTCTTTGTCCTACTGAATGTTATTAGATTGTTTATTTTTTATTTTTCTTCTAAAGATAAAAGATCCAAATAAAACTTTGAACTCTAGAGTGTATTTTTTATATGAACATCGTCAAAACTTTCATAGAATGCTTTACAAGGCACTTTTCATTTGTTCTTCAACCATAAACTTAGTAGTATGGAATTGTGCAAGTCGCAGTATCCCCGTGTTTTAAAAATGAAAGGGAAGAGATGTTAAATAAGTTGTTCAAGTTGGATGGCTAATAACTGCTGTGATGCCAGAATTAGAATTAAGAGTCCTTTGGTCACTTTTTACTATGTCAGACTAGTTCTTCACAAATTCAAAATACATCACAGCTGATAGATCGGGAGTGTGGAACCTTTTTTTCTGCTAGAATTTATAGCATCATTTTCAGACCATACAAAATTATCAACTTAAATGTTAACCAGCTATATTTGGTCAAACATTCAGTTAACTAATATGGGTCGGTGAAGTCCTGGTGTGGTGCTGTGGGTTAATGCATCAGACTGCAAAGTGATTTGAACTGCAAAGCTGGTGGTTCAAGTTCACCATTTGCTCCTTGGAAACCCTATACAGGGTCGCTATGGGTCGGAACTGACTCAACGGCACTTAACAACAACAACAACAATATGGGTCGGAGGAGTCCTGGTGTGGCGCTGTGGGTTAATGTGCCAGACTGCAAAGCCGTTTGAACTGCAAAGTCAGCAATTCAGGATCACCAGCTGCTCTTCAGAAACCCTATACAGGGTTGCTATGGGTTGGAACCGTCTCGTTGGCACTTAACAACAACAATATGGGTTGGTACCAACTCGATGGCACCTAACAACAACAACAATATGACAGTGTATGGGGTCACTATGAGTTGGAACCAACTCCATGGCACATAACAACAACAATATGGCAGCACATGACCATAACAAATATGATGGCTAGAACTGTGATTTTTTTGGCAGGGCCAGACCAAATGATTTTGTAGACCTTTTAATGGCCTTTTAATGTAGACCTTTTAATGGCCCACCCCTGCCATAAGCAGAGATGATTATTTCTATTCCTTCAGGTGTTACATCAAAATTTCTGAGGAAATTTACATACTTTATCAGGAAATTCACACGTCAAATGTTCTTCCTCAAATCACAGTACAGTTCAAGTATCACTCAAATAGTACTATAACCAGATACTTAATTTAGTAATCACATAAAAACTATTGCTTTTTTCATAGCAATAAATTTCACCTTGAACTTTAATGCGCTAACTGATGTTATTGTTAAAGTGCCACTGAGTCAAGTCTGACTCATCAGCCCTGTGTAGGGTTTCTCAGTAGCAGCTGGTAGATTTGAACCACTGACCTTGCAATCAATACAGTTTGCATTATAACTCATGATAATTTACCTTTCTTAAAGGATCCATTCTGGAATAGAACAAAGAAGCCACTTCATCTTTTGGAATGTATACATGTACTATTGACAAAATATGTTGAGAATCCTAGCCAAGTTCAGAATTATGAGAGGTAATTATGAGTTGATATTCTCTTATAACAAAAGCTCTTAAATGTTTCTAATATATGCTTGGGTACCAAATTTGGAGAGAATGGAGAACAATATGGTGATTATAAAGAAGAATAAGAGATTTAAGTTCTTGTCCACATTGGCAGTAACTATTTAAGTATTAATCAACCTGTATGAAAGCGCCCCTGAAAAGTAGAACTATTTTTTCCATTTTTACTCCTTGTCTTAAAAATCCTTTTACAATGAAAGTGTATAATTTATAAATTAGTTCTAATTTGTATTAGTGACCTAGGACCAAGACAGTTCTAATTATATCTTCTTGATACTGTTGATCATCTCATGGGTATTCTTTTGTGAAAAGCAAAATCATTTTCAGTATTAGCAACTTTCAACCTTTACTGTCTCCTTATTATAATAATGTTCAACTGAAAAAGGATGGTTATGTGGTGATACAACTACCTCTTCATTTCCTTACTCTATTTTCATTTATCTGTCACTTGATCACACATCCTTGGCTTGTCAGTGGGATTTATGAGAAATGCTAGCCTACCCGAAGCTGTGGGAAGGGTGCAGGAGGGAATGTTTCTAAATGTATACACATAACTGATCTGCTTTCTTTTCCTTTACAGGAGGAGGTTTACAAATCTATGCCTGGATGCTGTTTGTGGTTACCTGGTTGAGCTCCAGTCTATAAGCTCTTCAGTAGTAGTACAAGCCATTACAGGGAATTTTAAATCTCTTCAGGCTAAATTAGAGCGGCTTAATTAATTAATGATTGTAATGTATTTTCATCCTTGCATTTTGATCTGTAAAATAAAAGCTCCACTGGGTCCAGATAATGAGATTCTCTGAATCTAAGAAATTAAGAACCATTTTTAGTAGAAATACTTTTTTAAGAAGTTGCTACCAACAGTATATGTGCCAAGTTGATTCTTCTTTTTACAACTACTTACTTTGTTTTTGTTTTAATAATCAGGTTAAATACACTGAAATAATATTATAGTTAACACAAGAATAAGAAAATATTTGGAAACTGTTAAATATTTTATTGCAATTAGAAATGGAAACTTTTTTAATGTATGTCTTTTTAAAATTTATATTGCTTGTTTCCAAGTAAGTACAAGAATATTGGTATCAAAAGTTAAATAGGTTAGTTGAGCAGGTCCATTCCCATAATACTGGATTCTACAACAATTTTATAAATAGGCAAATAAACCGTTTTGTTTTTTTTTTTCCCCAAAGTTTTGAGTTCATCCATGGGAAGATATTTGTAGTCATTGAAAATTGATACACACCTGGTTGTTTTGAAAAGGTAATGAATCTATAAATAATGTCTTATGTCACCAAACCTACACATAAGTTCCTGATTTCCCTTCATGGTCATTTGGCTGTTGGGAGACCTTGTGACTATTGACTCCACTAGAGCAGAGGTTTTTAAAAGTGTGGGCACCAACCCAGCAACAGCAGTACCTGTGGATCTGTTAGTCATTCGGATTCCTAAAGTCCAAAAGCTTAGCAATGAGGCCCAGCAATCAGTGTGTTAATAAACTTTCCTGGGGATTCCGATCCTTGTCAAGGGTTTGAGGAGCCATATATTAAGAAATTCTATGACCTTCCATGGAGTCCTGGTGTGGCTCTGTGGATTAATGCGTTAGACCGTAAAGTCGTTTGAACTGCAAGATCGGTGGTTCAAGCTCACCAGCTACTCCTTGAATACCCTATAAAGGGTCGCTATGGGTCAGAATTGACTCGATGGCACTTAACAACAACAATGAAGTGACCTTCCATACTTTAAGAAGTGAGCTCCCTCTTTGATTATTCCTCCTCTTAATCCCAATGACCACAACACAAGAGTTTACACAAGACACAAATTATACAAGGATAAGTCAAAAAGTATTGTCACTAGGGTTTCTCTCTATACTCACAGGTTTATTCCAAATAAACTGTTTAAATATAACTGCGATCAGTGGATGACTGCAGACAAATTCTCTCAATAATACACTTGTCTTAGTGTCGTCATTGTTAACTGCCATGGAGTCGGTTTCGACACATAGTGACCCTGTATGGGGTTTCTGAGGAGTGACTGGTGAGCTTGAGCCGCCGACCTTGCAGTTCAAATGGCTTTACTGTCTGGTGCATTAAACCACAGTGCCACACCAAGACTCCTTTAGCCTCATTAGGTGCCTTAAAAAAAACAAAAACAAAGTCCAATCAGAACAGTGGCTTCCAAGATCTGCTGGTCCAGTCAAATTCAGAGCAGTGAGTTCAGCTCAGAAGGTTAACACCTTTTTGGGATTTCAAAGCAGTAATCTTGATAGATTGTTTTGAAGGACATGAGTCAATAAAAGGGGCTTATTATGAAGAAGTTTTAAGAAAACAAATCTGCATTGGTAAAAGTCCAGGAAAGTACTCGAAGGAATTTTTTTCCCCTTTATGATGGTGTACCTACTTATTCTTCAAGTTGCAAGGGCTGTCCTATGAAAATCTCACTGGAAAAAATTTCCCCATCCACCCTACAGCCCTTATTTTGCCTTTAAGACTTCTTTTTTTCCCTAAACTCAAAGCACATTTAACAGAAACACAATTTGAGTCCCTCGAGGATGTTAAAACTGCCATTTTGATGTAGTATAGATCAAACGGCACAGAATTCTTTGGAAATGAGTTAGAGATGGAAACACTGCTTTCAGCAATGTCTAGATGGAGGATGTGTTAAGACATAAATTCAATTTTTGATATTTTTGCTTAATAATGATTTCTATGATTTTGTAGCAGTACTTTTGGACTTAACCCTTGTATACATGAAAATTGTTACATCAGGCAATGCCTGGCTCATAAACAAAATCTGTTCTTTACTGTCTTTTAAAACTTGTAGATAAGTCAGGACAGGTGCACATGGTTCTTATGTAGCCATATTTGATTGCAAGAAAAGGAGCTCTGGTGAGGCCATGGGTTAAGCATTGGTGCTGCTAACTGCAAGAGGAGAGGTTCAAACTCACCAGTCTCTCTGGGGAGAAAAATTAGGCTGTCTGCTTCTGAAAAGACTGACTCTCAGAAACTCTTTAGAGTAGTTCTACTCAATCCCATAGTTCTGCTCTGTTCTATAGAGTCACTGAGTCAGAATCGACTGGAAGGCTCTAGGTTGGTTTGAAGCCTTCTCAGGGGTTTAAAAGCTTCAAGTGCATCAAGGAAAGGTGATCATGAAGAAGAAATGTGTTGCAAGTGTAGGGGTTCATACAGTTGTTTCAAAGTGAGAGCAAATTAACATAACATTCAAAGACAAGAAATGCCTTTAAGCCAGGTATTCTTAACCATATATTTGTACCTGTAACCAAGCACTGTGTAATGTGGTTTTAATTAGTCTAACAGAATTGGAGAAACGTAACCAAGCGCCACAATGTTGTGGTAACAGTGTTAGAGGGAAGAATGGGAATGGCTGTGGCAAACAAACACATGGAATCTTTACCCTCTCCTTTTATGCTGCCAAGAATAATTACCTTCTGTATATTGTTACCAATGTATACCTAACAGTTTTTAAATCCACTTTTAAAATATCTTCCATTTTACCTTTTCCCAGAGCCATTTATAAAAGGAGCTCTGGTAGCGTAGTGGTTACGAATCGGGCTGCGAACCTTAAGGTCAGCGGTTCGAAACTACCAGCCGCCCCACGGGAGAAAGATGAGGCTTTCTACTCCCATAAAGATTTACACCCTCGGAAACCCTGTACAGGGTCGCTATGGGTCGGAACCGACTCGACAGCACTTAACAACAACAGAGCCATTTATTATCTTTTCTTTCCCCTGTAATGTCTTAAGTTATAATAATATTTAACAGAATGTCAGGATATCACTTAGTGGTACCACTGCCGCTCCTCTGTTTTCAACATTTCAGTTTCTTAATGTGTAGTTTTTTTTAATATGTAAAATGAATGTATACCACATATTGTCACTTCTGTACGTTTATAATTCTGTCATGTATTTGTAAAACGAAGGTCTTGTTTAAATGCTGTAATTTGCGTATGGCTCCAGCTCTGTCTGATTGATTGAGAACAGAACTAGTATATAGTCATGTGCTATATATATAGTCATATAACATCTGTTCAGACATCAGGCTGTATATACAGCCATAGCCCTCACCCCCACCCCCAAAGCCTATGCTATTAAAAGTCTGACTGTATATAGTGGTTTGTAATAATAAGTGAAGCTACATTGAAATGTGCATCAAAACATGTCAAAGATATTTTAATGTATCTGGAAGTGTTTCTTTTAATGTTTTTATGCATAAAAATGCCTATATGTATATATACTAAAACAAACATTTGAATAACTTTTTAGATACGAAGCATGCCTAACTTCTGACTTCCATACAAATTCAACTTAAAAGGTAGAACAGAGTTTGTTCTTATCTAAGGATTACCTGTATACAATATGGCATGCACACAATGTCTAAATCACATAAAGTCCTATTTCACACAGTGTGTCATGGACTTTGAAATAACTGTATTGGTGCTGTACTATAAGCACTGGACTGCTATGTCAAGGTATGCAGTTCAGACCTACCAACTGCTCCACGAAAGAAAGCTTTCTGCTCCTGTAAAGATTTAGTCTCAAAAACCCTATATGGTTGGAATCAACTAGATGGCTGTGGGTTTTGTGGGGTACGTGGTGGACGATATGTGATCTGTGTGTGTAAAACTTCATTACAATGTTTTATGTATATTTGCATATAAACATGTTAAATATACTCAGTTCAATGTTAAAGCTACATCTTTAAAAGGATAGTAGGCAAGGAGGGTCAAATGGTCTAAAAATCAGACATCTGAACAATGCCTTTTATTCACAGCGCACCCAGTGGCCCCATGGCAGACATTTGCAATACCCTCCCAAGAGTAAGATTTCTAAGGAAAATGAAATTCAATTTCTATATTTTTTAGCCTCTAAAACAGTGTTTCTGAAACTTTTTAAGATTTGTGAAAATCACCTGGGTAGCATGTACAAACAGGTTACTGAGTTCATTTAAAAGATCCTGATTCGTTAGGTCTAGAGTCATAGTTGGGAATTGTTTCTAGCAAGCTTCCATGTAAGGCTGATACTGACAGTAAGTGGCTCAAAGTTAGTAGCATTACACTAGTACATTTAGTCACTACATTAATATGTTCTATACTTGTTAAACATTGCATTTATTAAAGGCAGTGAGGTCACTAAAGGCCTTGGCTGTAACATTGGTGTTTTAGGAAGATCACTTTAGTACAGCAAAATGATTAAGAAAGAAGAGAAAAATCTGTTTTGGTTTATTGTGCAAGGCAAAAGGTAAATCGGCTCTGAGATGTATATGGTGAATGTTCCGAATTCTTGTAATACATCTAACAGTAGTGGTTTCTTCATTTGAACACCTGACTATACCTGAACTCTATTCTCTGTTTTATAATTCAGATCTCAGGTACTTTTCACAGATTCTCTTCCTCAGGATACTCTCCCACTTCCATCTCTTTTCCTAATGAGAGAAGCAATTATGATATTGATATAGATGTATTAAATTAACTACAACACTGAATCTAAAGGTCTCTAAAGAACTCATGATTGCTCTTCATTCTCTACTATAATGTTTGCACTTATATTCTCAAGGCCTTTTTCAATCGTAAATATGTTTTAGTTCTACAGTACATCCAAAGATGTACTAATGAGGACTAAGGTGTGCCTGACATAAGCCATGGTATTTTCAGTAACCTCATAAGCCTGTGAAAGCTGGACAATGAATAGGAAGACCTTAGAAGAAATGATGCATTTGTGTTATGGGAGGAGAATATTAAAAGTACCATGGACTTCCAGAAGAATAAACAAATATCTGTTGAAAAAAGGACAGGCAGAATGTTCTTTTGAAGCCAGGATGGTGAGACTTTGTCTCTCATACTTTGGACATCATACTTGATAAAGTGAAGATGGATTGGTACAGTGGCAGCAGAAATAGGCTTAAGTGTAGCAACAATGGTGATGTTGGCACAGGACATTTCATTCTGTTGTGCACAGGGTTGCTGTCAGTACTGG